CTCTCTCTCTCTCTCTCTCTCTCTCTCTCTCTCTCTCTCTCTCTCTCTCTCTCTCTCTCTCTCTCTCCTGGTTGCTTTTATGATGATGTGTCTGTTACTAAGAGAAAAATCAAATTCTGATTTAACCATTTTTTTATCTTGGGGTTTTATTAAGGAGCCTCTGTAGACTGTGTTTCACCAATATATAATGCAATTCTTTTTTCTTTTTTTCTCTCACACACTCTTCCTCCATCCATATACTTGACTTTTGTCCATGACGTGTTCGTCTTCAACCGGTAAACTTACAAAAAAAATACTTCAGTTTTTATTTTTCATTGTTTGATAAAGACAAACTTGTTAACAAAGGCATCAGTGCTGATCTTCAGGGAGAATAAGACGGAGAAAAAGAGGAGGGGGGGAATTATTAGATTGAATGACAAAAGGGACAGTGTTGTGACAGTGAGCAGCTGGTGTTTCCAAGTGTTGACAGGCTCCGTGTCGGCGTGTTTGTGTGCGCGCACGCATGTGCTTGATGGAGACAGATTGTTCCGGGATTGTTCATTTCTGAGCAGGACTCTGCTCATTGGGGTTATTGACGGCATCTGTGAAGAAAATGACAAACATGACAAATGGCACTCGACCAAATGTTCCTTTTTATTCTGCCGCTCTAAATAATTTTTCATGCCTAAAGGCACAAAGAGAACCTGAAAATGTTGGGCTTATTAACAGGAAGGAAGCTAGTTTGAGTAGTGGTCTGTGTGAAGTTGCCTATGGATTTGACAGATCGATATATTTGAACCCGAAGCTTAAGCGGTGTGAGACTAATTGCTGGTAGTCAATATTAGTAATGTGGATTGTCAAGTCAGTACTGCTGTTACTGTTGTAGTGCATTTATCCTCTTTGTCTGAACAGATGTTGTGCTTGCAGGAAGCTAGATAGCAACCTATGTATATCCACTAAGTCGGATGTGCTTCTGTGCTTTTTAAACAAAATGCAACATGTAAACCAATCTTTTACCGCCACTTGTGTCAAACAAACACATGTCAGATAGAGATGACCTCCCTCCTGTTGTGTGATGTCATTTGTTTGCTACAGGTCACGATCTATCAGTGGAGCCTCTTCTGGCCTTTCCACCAGCCCCCTCAGCAGTCCACGGGTAAGTCATAAAGCTCAGACACCAACACTTACATATTCTACAAAACTCATGCTGACTGGCTAACACCCACTCAGCTACAACTGATGCCTTATTGCTGGTTATTGTCTACACAAGAGAATAAAACACTGCACACTTTCTCAATAAAGCTTCTCTTCTATTGTTAACGTCTGGTTTTAAAATTAGCGGTTCCCTTGAAAGGGGGAGTGTTATGCAAAATATTTTTTTATCTTTATATCATGTTAAAATGTCATTTCCTCATCAATAACATACCCACAGTGTTGCTTTGACTCATTCATGCATGTCTGAGAAATCCTTAAATCCAGTGGTGGGCAGCAGTAATCTAAAAATTAGTTCCATTAGCACTAAAACACTAACTCAAATATTTAGGTCCCCTAATTCTAAAGCACTAATGCACTGAAAGTTTTTGCAAAAGCTAACTCTAAAGCACTAAAATAACCCAGTCAACCCATGAACATTCTTTAACAGACAACATGAGTCACATATTGTCATGTTGCTCTCTTAAGACTTATCATTGACATTCCACAGCTGTATTTTGAGTTCATATATTGTCACCTAGTGGATAAGTGACACACATTTGAACAAAATGTGTGACAGCTTTGACCCTCAGTTGTTAACATTAATATTGATCAATAACAGTTAAATACCTCAGTTAGTGCTTCTAAATTTAGCCTATAAATTTAGCAAGTGCKAATCCTCTAATAAATTTCAAAACTAGCAAAAACCCTAAAGCACTAACCAGGAAATTAGTTCCCCTATTAGTGCTTTAGTGCTTTAGGGTAACTGTGCCCACCACTGCTTAAATCCATGTGGTAGCCATGTGGAGCTGCCCAAATACTTGCTGGTGCAAAGCTCCTCCTACATACACAGCTCCTCCCTGGAGGTGGAGTGTCAGAAACAGTGAGAGGTTCTGACAGAGACAGAGACTAATTTTAAGGCATTTAGAGGATAAGAAGTAAAATACAATTTACTTTTGATATATACATAATTTTTATAACTGAAAGTAACAATGGGCCTCATGCAAGAACCGTTCGTACACACAGATTTGTTCTTAAATTGTGCGTACGAGTGATTTAGGAGAATTTGTGGCATTCACCAATGTTTTCGTATTCTACGGTGCGCAGCGCTGCGCTGTGGCTTCTGAATAAATGAAAATGATTTAACACAGTTGTTTATACTTTTAGCAGCTCTTTTTATCCCACAGCTGAGCTGCTAAAAATGAGAGATTTTCTTTTCTGGATCTCTGACAGACGGACTTCAATCTCTGAACTCGTAAAGTTTTTATTTTTTCAGTTTTCGCTGTCTTTTTCATGAATGAATGAACACTTCCTTGTATGTGAGGCAGGAAACATAGCCTTATATGGTGTTTTTGGGGTGGTAATTATGCTAATCTCCTCTCGCGTGCACGAGCAGCTGGATACGAACAGGTGGAAATTTATGCAGCTCATTTACACACTTTTCCTGAAGATAGAAGAGTTTGTTGAATCTGACGTGACATGTTCGTACGAACCCTTTGTACGAACAAAAGTAAGAGAAATTTAGGAGAAGAATACGAACATGTTCTTGCATGAGGCCCATTGTCACTTAATTGTGGTATAGAACTGAACTATGTGCTTGGGGAAAATACATAATTTATAATACCACTTTAATTTTTTATTTATGCCCAGTGTGAGACTGAGCTTTAGACTATATCATCTGTAATTTCCCTTTGGGATCAATAAAGTATCATTCATATATTAGTCCTGTACGTGTCCCCAAAAAGTTTTTTTTTCAAGTTTGTCCAAAATCCCACAGCAGGGAGGAGACAGCAAAGTGAGCTATTTTTCCAATTCTGAAGCCCTTTCTTCAGTCTCTCAATCCTGATTATCCCAGCTCCTGCTCTTGGTGGCCTGAGCTCGGCAGAAATCCAGATCAGGGAATGCTTCAGAAAGCCCCACTTTCCTCGCACAGAACTGGGGAGGCATGTGGTAAACTTTTCCAGTTGACTAGCCTGAGAAGGCTCAAGATACCACGGCACTAAGACAAACTCCCTACACCACACAGGTTCTTTCAGGCTGATCTGAAAGGGAAATTGATTTCTCAGAARTACCAAAAAAAAAAAMCCCAGATTGTGCTCTCTGCAGGAGGCTCTGTGTGGGGTTATTTCTGGAAAAAGGGGGCTTGGTGTCAAAGGCAAATAGTGGAGAACTGCATCTTCGGTTTGAACATTACAAGTCAAACAGATCAATAAACCTATCAGGAAACCAGAAATCTCAGTGCAGCGATGCTACCTTTTCGTCTTGTTATTGAGTCAACCCAAATTGTGTTCACAGCGGGCCTTGTGTCTCCTGCATCTGTGTTTGCTTGTTTTTCTTTGCTATCAGAGTCCTGTATGTTTTATGCAAGTCGAGTCTATCTTTTTATCTCGTGTCTGGACTTTATAGATATTGTTCACATTGCTTGCAGATATTTTCTCCCGTTTCAGTTTTATTTCATCTAAGTTTGATATGAATGATTTATGTTATGATTGTTTTTTTTTGTTTGTTTGTTTTGTCTTGCAATTCCTCATTTTTCCCACCTAATGCAAACTCCTCACCTGCTTCAATATTGTTTGTCTGCTTCCTTTTGGTGTGTGTGGTTGTGGCTCTCTTTTCGTGTGTGCCTGTATCCCCATGTTTTATTTTATTTGAATCATCTACCTGCTTTTGCTCCCGGCTGATCCGTGCCGCGCATCTTCCCTCCGTGTATTTTGAATCCAGCCTGTCAGAAAGTTCTGTGTGCCACCTCAGTCCCCCGACTTGACCGAGTCCCCTAACGCCAGCCCTTGCCCGTCCCCCGAACCCCTTTTGAATCGCACAGGCCCACGTGTCTCAACTCCCAACTCACTCTCTCCAAATTGTGAGCCCCTGCCAGGAGTGCTGAACAAGACGCAGACTCTCCCCGCCAAGCCCAAAGTTGCCCCGAAGCCCCTACATGCAACACGATCAAACCCCCTACCTGATACCTCCCCTGATTCTCCTCCTGCAGCCAAATCTGAACCGTCCACTCCCTGCCAGGCTCCACCACATCCACCCTCTCTCTCTGTGCCTCCTACTCCCACTTCTCCATCCTCCCCATCCCCCTTTGCTTTCGCCCCCATCTCCAAAGCTCCCATCCCAAACAGCCCCCAGGTACGGCGCTCCCATTACGCTGCCAGCCCCCAACTCTCTGTGCCCTTTAGCCCCGTTTTGCCACTATCACCCATCCGGTTACATCATTTTCACCCCGTGGCGCCTGTTCCTTCTCCTTTTACTGACCACCCACCCAAATCTATCCCCCTCATACAGGTTACCCCTCACCCCTCCCCTCGAGGCAGCCCCCTCCCCACCCCAAAAGGCACTCCAGTGCACACTCCCAAGGACAGTCCATCTGGGACGCCGACTCCTACGCCGCCTCCGAGCCCGTCCATAGGAGGCATGCCTTGGAGGACGCGTCTGAACTCCATCAAGAACAGCTTCCTGGGCTCGCCACGCTTCCATCGCAGGAAACTCCAAGGTACTGACATCATCGCTGGCATCATCTGTCTGACAAACACTGGATAAGAGTTCTCAGGTTTTATTTGCACTGAACCTTCAGATAGAAGGTATAATGTGACGTACACGTTAACTTAATGTGACCCTCACATTTGTCTGACTGACTTTGTTGCCGCAGTTCCTACACAAGAGGAAATGTCCAGCCTCACACCAGAGTCTTCCCCAGAGTAAGTAGATACTATTTTTTAAGGAATCCTGGGTTGCCAGATAGGAAAGGAAGAACTATTGTACTGTCACTTTAAAACTATGAGGAGGGCATTTTTTTCAGTGGTGGTAAGAGGATGCAAGCATGTTCTTGGTCAGCCAGGTGGGATGGCAGGGGCGGGGTTCACACTTGGCAGGCATGTGGACTTTTGATGATTTGTTGTTTTTTGCATAAATAAAAACAAGTTGTTTATTTATTTGTTTATTTATTTATTTATTTATTTATATTAGCAAACAATTTATTGTGAAGACTCAAAGTTAAAATACAATAATTATACATCTGGCAACACTGAAGGGACTGAAACCACACAACCTGTGAGCCCCTTGCACCGCTCTTGATAGCACAATGATATGGAAATTCCAGCATCCATAAATGTTTCATTTTTACCTGCTGAGTTTTCTGTAACGCTCTCAGGTCCCAGCTGGATTGGTGATGATGCATGGTAGCAGGAGGTAGTGGGTAATGTGGGCGGTGGGTGGCTAGTGGTGGGGATGGTTCAGGAGGCGTCTTGTGTGAAGTTACCAAACTCTCAAGGGTCTGATTACTCAGGGTTGGCCTAGATATGCCTGTTCGGCTGGTTTGTTGCTGTATGGCTTGGTCACTTCCATCTGCTTCGATCGTCTTGAGGTGGAAATCTGAGTAAAAACACTCTTTTTTGTACTTGGGTCAGTGTTACAGACATACAGTCACATTTAAGAGAAACCAGGATCACACATTGTATCAGACACACTGTTTATATTTATTATACAATACTTAGTAAAATTACATAAAAAACAAGAGCTAATCCCAAAATCTAAAAGCTATTCTCACYAAAACTAATTTGATAGTGGATTTGTAATGGTACGTCTTCACACATTATGATACTTCTGGAACAACGTTCTTTGGACTGATGAGAGCAAAGTCAATACTTTTTCATCCTTATGCACAAAGCCATGATTGGAGAAAAACAATCCTAGCATATCACACACATATTGTTATGCACAGTGGTGGATGGGCGTACAGTTATTGAGCTAAACAGAAAGGATTCTAGAGTTAAACATGATTTTGTCTGAGGCTTGGCCAGTGTGGTAGATATCCCTGGAGTAACCTCAAATCCACTGAGTCATGAAGTGGAGCTAGTAATCCTCACACTGCTTTTGCATTTTGCATGGGTTTTTATTAAATAAATGATGTGGTGTTTTATGACACGTATTTGGTGTTCGTGTGAGATTTTATTAACATAATTTTAGGACCATGAATGTACCAAAGGATATTTAATATTTACAAAAATATAAAACCAAAGGCTCTACTTTTAGTGTCCATACTTTATTATACATGCATTTTTAAATGTACAACATGGTCGACTAATATAATCTTCGTAAGGATTTTATCTRAAAGTGTTGAATAAAATCTAAATACAGTGATAAACAGAAATCGGCACACACAAAGCGTTCACATATATCTCCCTTTCCTACAGGTTCCCTTCTTGTATCGTAGTTGAAAGGAGCTAAAAGGACGAATAAAAATGCTGTGCATTTTATAGTCAAGTGCATTACATTTGACTTTAAAGGCTGCASTGGGAACAAATAAAAACTGGAAGTGAAAAGCAATAACCAAAATTTAGGACCTGAGGAGTGAACACTGTGGGTTGTTTCTTTTGTAACAGAATATGATCAGTACATATACATTTAGTTACATTGGGGTGGGGGGGGGTTTTGTTGGTCAGTGTACAGGCAGTATAGGCAAATGCAAAGGGCACCGTCCATCTAGAGGCGCCACAAATTTGGGGACAAAAATTCTATAACTTGTTRTCAGAGTATAGTTGATTTAGTCTGTAGAATAATCACTGGTTAATMGAGTTTATAAAGGTTGCTTGTTCTGTGGGGTTCTCAGCCCGTTGTGTTACTACATGAGGTATAATATATATTGCAAAGGTTAGTTTCTGATAAATGTATCACGTGGTGCAGTCAAGACTAACTACTGATGCTCAGTGTGTAAATAGAAAACAAAATAAGGGTATTAGAACTTTTGGTTAAAGTTCAATTGAAAAATCTTCCTTCTTGAAGACTGAATTAAAAACATTTTCCCCAAATTCACTTTAATATTTTTAATAAGCGAAATCACACAGCAGAAGATTTAACAGGGTCAAGTACATTGTGAGCATTTATCTTAAAAAGAAGGTTGTTCTCCATTGTGGCTGTGATAGAATGATATTCYGTAAGTTCCTGGTTTGATTCCAGTTGTTAATATTCCCATGGACAAAACATCTCACTGCACACTGCCACCATAATATGTTTTATCGTGTGAATGTCTTTAGATAAAATAGCCTGAAAAGTGAATCTTTTGTAGGAATATGCTGTCTTTTGACAACTGAAAAGTGAATGAGACAATGCCCTAAAGTTGACACACACAACTTCTGTCTGTTTTATGGCTCTCTGTGCAGGTCTCCTTGTGGATATGCTCCCCTGTCTTGTTTGCTAATGTCTTTTTAATAGCTATCGCAGAGGAGGAATTGATAGATGGTAATTAATTGTGTGTAACACTTTACCGACAAGACTTGCACTTCAGAGAAGGGCTCCTTTTTAGAACGGTGACAGAAACACTTAAAAGTCCTCGTTATAGTTTTAGATCATTTTCCCCAGGGTGTCATGTCCTTTCTGTTTCTCCTGGGCTTCTAGAGTGAGACTTTAGGGAGCACTTCACCTGTTCTCTTTTTTTCTTGTAGGGATCGATAGATGGACGGGTGCTTAAGACTAAGAAACACCTACATCACATGGGTGATACTTTGTCAAATGCTTGCTAGAAGATGATTAATGTTTGCCTTTTTTTCTCGTCTTTCCTTGTAGACTTGCCAAAAAATCCTGGTTTGGTAACTTTATCAACCTGGAGAAAGAGGAGCAGATCTTTATTGTCATCAAGGACAAGCCTCTCAGCTCCATCAAGGCAGACATCGTCCAAGCCTTCCTCTCGGTACACAACTCTTACTTCTTAGTCCCATTTTGATCCTGATCATTCTTGCACCTTTGAGCCCTCCTTTGTCTGTCTTTGTGTTCATGTCAGATGTTGAACATTGACTGCTCTACTGTAGGAGCCAGTCTCTTTCTGTTTCCTAACATTCTTCTGATTTATGCTGCGTCTCAGTAAACCGCTTGTACTCAGCACTTCTATTTTCTCTTTAAACGCAGACTCACTTGAGGTCAATAGAAAAATCAACACAGAGCAGTGACCATTAGCATATAGATGCTTTTCCTCAGTAGTTATTTGAGTGTGCGCACATGTATAGTTAGTTGTGTAAGAAATCTTGCAGACCTTATCTGTGCGTTGGGTTTTCCAACGGTGTTGGTGTTCAAATGCTAGGCTCCCGTCAGTGAGCACCAAACATTCAGCAGTGCTAGTTGCCATTCAGTGAACGTAATTGAACAGAACCTATCCTCACCCCAGTTAGATATAACAAAGTCTAAGTAAATGCAACTCTGCCAGCGCAGGTCAGTGTCAGATCCGTTTCTCCTTCCCCGAAGGCAGCTATTTTCTCCAACGGGTTACGCAAGCTGGTTTTCCAGGCAGGAGATTGGCACCTGAACCAGAGGAATTATACCTTTGAGCACACTCACATTAATGGAATGTCAGCCCCTCTTCAGCATCGTGGCAGAATGTGACAATTTCAGCGCTCACCTGTTCATTGGGCATACAAATTYATTTTAGGCGGGAGAGTGCCGTGTTGTTGGATGACTCGAGATTATATTAGCTTAAGTCTCTCTGGCACACATGGCTACTCCCCGAGGCATTAATCTTCTTAGAGTCTCAACTGTGGCTCCTGGTATGTGGAGCGTATTTTAATGAGGGTTCATTCCAACTGTCATTGGCAAGATTTTGGGGGGAAAGAATGGTATCACTGCAACCTATATTTACAGCGGGTAAAATAAGTATTGAACACGTCACCATTTTTCTCAGTGAATATATTACTAGAGGCGCTAATGACATGAAATTTTCACCAGATGTCGGTAACAACCCAAGTGATCCATACATACAAAGAACTCAAACCATAAATGTCCAGAAATGAAGTTATTTGTAATGATGTGTAGGCCTGTCGCGAT